GTTTGATGAAAAACATATAAGCAGTGGCACCATTTCCAACCAAAATGGCAATCAAACAGGATGTCTGGTCAAAAGCATTGGGTCCAGATGGAATAAGCTACAAAGAGAAAATTATCCAGTTTTACATGCAATCTGTTGTTTTCTGGTGGGACTAGAATATTGATGGGCTCCTATGCTGTTTACGCCCAGATGGTTGAAACGAATTGTCTAATAAATTACACCAGTTAGTAGATATGTCTCAGAATTTAACCATAGTTCTTTGAAAGTGCCATTTTTTAAAAGTAATGAACAAGTATTTGTGATACGGGGTTTCATGTTTTGCTACAGAAAAAAATGCAGTGGAAGAGTGTGTTTTCATATTGTACCATTATAAAAGCTTCCTCTCAGTTTGACTTAAGATGTTTTCCTTCCTACAAATAGATTTGGAGTTTTCCTGGTCAAAGGGTACGTGATAAGAATATAAAGAGCAGCGGATCCTTCATTTTTCAGTGACATATTAGATGCGAACTATTCTTCTTTGAGCTAAAATAGAATCAAAGTCTTTTCTCAGATATGGAGGAAATCAAAAGCAGCTGCCAGCACTTGAAGCTCTAACCTGCATATATCTGGTTTTAAAAATAAGAACAAAGGTTTCTCTTTAGTGTAGTAACACTAAAATCTTTTAAGTACTATTCTCTGTTCCAAAGTTTAGCCACAGATTTTCACATCCACAGTAGTGATTGTCGATGTACCAAAGCATCTTCACAGTGTGGGGGCATGATGAAATTTTTCAAAGGGTAGTTTATTTGGCTCGATGGAGGCATGCTGCGGCTGAGAGGCTTGTTTTTTTTGAATATCTGCTGTTCCAAATTAAAGCCAAAGTCCCAGTGAAGCACACAAACTGTTTGCTTACAAAGCTGGTGGAGCAGCTCTTGTAATTTATCACCCGGACTTAAATTTGTGCCTGGGGTCTGCCTGGACAAGTATGACCTTATGAAGGTCAATGAGGTAAAAAATAAAACCGCTTTGCTCCCGAGAACAACCCTTCTTATGTATACTGAGAAGATTTGTAAGTCAAAAGCTACACACGCAGAGACACAGAGGCAGCTTTCATGTGTGCTGGACTGTATTTACTCTTTGGATCTAACATTTTCCAGAAGATGTGTCCTTTACCTGACACCGGATTCAACTCATATGCGACCGTAGCATTTCAAAGTTTAAAAAAAAAAGAAAAAAAAGCTTACCATCCTAGTTTTCACTGTGCAGAGAAAAGCAATAAATTGAATCCTTGTAGACACTCCATGCTTTAGAGATGTCTCTTTCTGTAAAGAGGAAGTAATCACGCATAACTGCTCAAACATCATATGGACACAGGAGTCATAAATGAGAGCCTGGCACTTGCCACTTTGGCAGATTGCATTGTCAGGAGGTAAACAATGGAAAGAATGAGGAAGGACTCATCTGATAGGAAATGTCAGAGCATGATTGGATTAAAAAAAACCTTCTAAATTAGGCTCATTAATCACGAGCTAGGAAAACAGTGACAGGTCTTGTTCTCAAAAGCTCTCCTCTGGAACTAAGCTGAGTGCCACCCGGAAATTGCACAATTACCTTAATACCTGATTTAAATGAAGAGTATGCATGGTGGTGTCAATTGTTAATTGGGGAAAACAGCTCATATTATTTAGAGGTAATTGCCATCACAAGAAGTCTAGTTATCTAATCCTATCTTTTTTTGCATAATTAACAAGACAGCATTGGCTTAAATTCACTCAGATCTGATGGTTCCCTTTTGTGCAGGAATGTGACTGAATGTTTTCTATAGCATAGTCATAAATGGAAGCTGCATCCCGACCAGTAATACACGTCAAGTGTGACATCTT